AAAATGATATTGGTTATGAAAACATGCATCCAAGTCTCCTCTTTCGAATGGCGAGAACCGCAGGTCTTCACCTTGTTCGTATCAAAAGTTATTCAAAAAACAACCGAGTGCCTTGACTTCTGGAACGGATAATAGTTGCGGTCATGGATAACTGTCAAGCTATTACTTAATAACCGGTAACTGCTCCATATATATATAAAGGCTTGACGCGAATTAGAGATTTCTTACTGTGCATCATCGATGTTTTTGTGTGTTCCTGCGACCATTACAGTTTCCCTCAAGCGCCATCGAATCCAACCGAAATTTTTTACTACAATTAGTCAAAGTCTAATTTCATATACTTTTCCGGTTTTTCACAAAAATGTTTCACAGTAAAAAATGGAGGTCTCAGTAATGCTTTTCAGTATTTTTACTGTAACTTTTGATCGAGACAATATTTTTCGAAAAGAAAAAAACATGTAAAATTTTACCTTGGGTGTTTGTGGTAAAAATTTCGGCTCGATCCGATGACGTTTTAGGGGAATTGTAATGGTCGCAAAAAGAAGTTTCTACGATTTTATGTTTAGCGATCAGGAAATATCCTCAGGAGCTCCACAGAAGAAGAGAGATATCTTGAACAACTTTCATGATCATGACATTTACCAACGTAGCTGCTATTACATGATAAAACTATCGCTTGTTTCAAGTTAGCATGATTGCTTATATTAATCAGTATTGATTATTGTCAATTAGCACCATAACGATGTTTCTCAGTCTACTTTACGAGTTAAGGGTTCGAAACAACTGCTCCACCCGAATGATAGAACATTTCACGGTGTCTGTTCCATTCGTCTGTGGTGTGGTGTGCACATGCAAGCAGAAGTGATTTCGTCTAGTATAAACAAGTTTAGTAAGAAAATAACAGAAATAATTAATATGTAAGAATGAGATCGGATGGGATGGTTAATCATGATCTTCATCAGGGACGGGATCGGTTCGTGTTTTTCTGAAACCGAACCGAAAAATTTTCGAATAATTTGATATCTTTCCAGACTCGCTTTATTTTAGTGGTAGACCAAAAACTGTCCAACATTCTGGAATTTTTATTGATGGTAATATATTCCTTCTTTAAAGCGCAGTGCTGTGGCCAAAGAGGGGTGTAAGTTTCCCCTGCTTTTGGAAAGAAAACTTTTCTCTTTAACAATCTCTTTTCTCCCAAGATTTTGTCTGAGCTCTTGCTCAGATTTGGTAACCAGTCTAATCAATATTTAACGAAAACAATTGTCTCACTTTGACTTCGAAAATACCTGAGAGCAAAATTTTACTTCCACTTTTTTTTCAATAAGGAAAAAAGCTCAAATTGATGTCAACATTATCATTACCATTTATTTATTGTGTTGAAATAATGATGCTAGGTGGTGTTGCGTTCTTGTACATATATGATTTTCTCCCCAAAAATGTACATCGTTCATTGTTTGTTAATTCACTATCAAAACGTCAGTAATCGTCTATACGACATCTATCTTTCGTGCACTAACTCTTTTTCAGATGTCTTTTTCAACATACGAACAAAAAGTAGCTGAGACCGAGTATCAGCGAGTAAGGAATTTCTCAAACCGAACCGATTTCGGTTCGATCGTAATCCGAACTGATCCAGCTCTGATCTCCAAGCAGTAAAAAATATGGTCTAATTTCGATTTTTTTGAAAGAAATTTTAGTTAGCTCAAGAAGCTTTTGATCCTACAAGTTCACTTGTCCTTATTCTACATGTGAACGACTCGATTCATTTTATTATCTTTTTCATCTGTTGTTTCTCACCAATAACCCTTATTTAAGTCTTTATTAATTGAAAATATATTACTTTCATAAAAAGAAACAAGGAGAAAGGTAATACGATACGTTATTTGAAGAAATAAATAACCGTTTGAAAAAAGAGTACTCACGAGTAAAAGAATCTTTGACATATTAATATTATTGTAGAACTTCTTAGAATAATGTCCGTAATTACACTTTCGTTAGTACTACTTGTTGTAATAAACCTTAGTTTTTCTGGCCCAACTAAATCATGTCACCAACCAATGTGTGCTATTCATTGTCAATATGGTTTCAAAACAGGTAATGATGGGTGTCCAACGTGTTCTTGTAAACGCACTCCGTGTCAAGATGAATCCAAACCGTTGCCTGGATATTTTTGTGGCCGTGGTATTAATCGTCGAGATTGTCCAGCCACGCACTCATGCGTGATTTCTCCGGTTGATGCATATGCTGTCTGCTGCGAAAAATCTGAAACATTATCAGAAAAACCAGGATTGTGTCCCGAGGAAACAGGAATGGGGATATGTACTGCTGTTTGCAACGATGATTGGAGCTGTGAAGGTGAAATGAAATGTTGTGGTAATTGTCCTCGTGGCTGCGTTAAACCAGTTCTCTAAAAAGCACTAATGGTTTTGTGAAAATTTTGATGTTTTATTCGATTTTGTGTCAAATAGCAGAAAGGTCGTAATAAATGATTTATCCATATCTGTTGCATTATCAAATAAAAATTTTTTCATCCAGATCTAAGTTACAAATATTCTAGTTGGAGACCGTTTGTTTGCATTTTGTTAAGCCGTTTTCTCCTCCGTACGTTGGTTCCATTATTATGCTTGCGATGGCTGCAGTACATCTTGTGTCCCATAAACCTTTAGGCATTATGGTAAAAAAATACAGTCGGTTTAACGAAGATAATAATATGTACGAAAACTGCTTTTGTATTTCTATAAGCGAAATGATCAGCTCGAGCATGTCAAATGATAGAAAAGCAAAACAAACATTTTTCAAAAAAGATGAACTAAACAAATTAACAGGAAATGTACATCAGAATGTACACCGATGAGACTGGGAAACATTAATACGAAAATATTTTTATTTTTTCTTACAGGAAAGCTCAAGCCTCATGAACTTGAACTGAGCCTCACAACACTGCAGTCCTCTAGACTGTTTTTCTGTAACTATTCTCTCGACTAAGTTGATAATATATACGTAGTACATCATCAAAACGATTCCGTGATAAAATTCTAACATATACAGAAAGCAGACGATTCCATTACTAAAATTTTCTATGGATACGTATATAGTAAAGACTAGTTCAAGGTTTCAGCTTGAAAAAAACTGTAAAAAATTGCGTTTTCCTCGGAAAAGCCAGGAATTTGTGTACACTTCGATTACGTGTTTTCTTCAAACTCTTTCAAACGTATTTTGTTATTTTTCTGTTCAATATATTTTAGAGAAAAATATATGTTTGAACGGATGTTTTTTATATCTTATTTAATCCCGTTCATCGCTTAATAGTTGATTTCCATTGTGGACTTATGCTTTTACATCTATTATATCCATTTTTAGCTATTGTGTACACTGTTTCTAACTTTTTCCCCCTCTGCCAATGTTTTTCTTTATCAAAAATAACACTGTCCAAAATTAATTAAGCATTCGGGACTACTCTCCGAATGTTGGACTAATTCAGAACCTTCTGGATCTCGTACCAACGGCGTCGAATTTATATTTCTAATCGTTATTATCAGGAACAAACAAATACTTGATTTACTTTGAATAAAAGAAAATGAAGAGGAATGAGAAAAATACTATCTTTTAGAGTACGGTTTTTGTGTACTAAGGGGTATACTAAGAGGTATATACAATTGAATATTTTTCTATCTGAACTAAATATTTTTCTTGTTATAAGATAGAAAAATATTAAAGTTTTTCACCTAGGATAGAAAATTATTTAAATAAGGTACAACAGTCTGGTTCCGCATATTCGTACCTTCTTTCTAGATTCAAATTGCGACATCAGTTCCATCATTTAGAATGAGATAAACAAGATAGAAAAATATTACAGGTTTTCGTATAGGATAGAAAAATATTTAGTTATTTTAAAATAAAGGAAGAATATTTAAATAAAATGGGAAAATATTTAATCAATTTTTAATATTAGTCGTTTGATATTTTTCTTCTTAACATTAGTCTATAGGCCCGTGTCGTCTCATGCAATGGTTACCAGAAACGAAATGGACTCGTATGTTCTTTCAATAACGTTTCAATAACGTCCATAAAGAAAGGCGGTCTCAGTGCTTCGTGAATGCATGCAGTTTTTATCGCTCAGGCCTCAGACAAATTCTGTTTTGGGCGCGGAAATTAGCCGTTTTGGGCACGGTTATTTATTTGGGAACGGTAATTAGCCGAAATGGACACGGTTTGCCAATTTCCGTGCCCAAAAAAACCGTTCGTCTTATTTGGGCACGGTTTTCTTTTCTGAAACTCGGGAATGCTGCACTCCATTCGCTTGTAAGCTGTGTGAAACGCGGTTTTCTAACCTTTCCCACTGTCAACCATTCTCACGAGAAAGATGCTCATAAATGGATTCAAAATTTGGACAAAAGTCGGTTGTTGTACTGGTATGGCCATACACATGTGGTTCCCTCCT